GTATCAGTCACGAGCATCCTTGTAGTCACAAACGAACTAATTAGGCTAGCAGGTTGAACGAGCCAAGAATAGTCGTTGATCAATTGATCTTGAGAGCTCCAGAAACTGTAGCAAAATGGTACTTTGTTAAGCTGACATTGACGGATAAACAGAAGCGTGTTGTGTTTAACTTCCTATATAAATCAGGAAATGAAAATAGAATTGATCAAGCTTTAAGATACCGAGCCAAAATATCGATTCTGGAATGTACGATGTTGTTTCGAAACTTCGGGATGCATATGACTCGTACGCAAATTCGCGGAAGGTTTTCCGACTTCCTGGCTTATCTTCCATCTGGTGGAAGGGTTATTATCGTTAGGCGTGGGAGAATCGTGCGAGTTTTACGAGTGCAACGACGTGGATGTCACCATTCGCGCACGATATGGCAATAATGGAAGGCGCAGCTGCGAGAGTAGGCATGTCCCTTTTATATGCAACTATACTGCACTCACCCACATGCACGATACGTGTGGCATACTCGAAAGAAATTCACGTTGACGTATTCCTTTCAATTTGCTTTGTTAAAGAAGAAAAATGTTTCGACAAAGAAAATATTTAAGTGACAAAGAAGGCCGATATCGAAAGAGAAAGAGGACCGAAAACGTACAGACGTAAATTTATGTGAAAAGACTCGAGCCGCTTTTAAACACCGCGTTCAAAGAGACACCGAGGTCTTGGTCGTTCTATTTCATCCGGGTGGATAAAATTAAGGGGACTTTCACGACTTAGATCGGGGTAGAAGTCGAATGGCCGCGAACGACGTCGGCTATTTTTGTGTCGTCCGCGAGAGAAGCCACAAACGCCGTTACGATTTCAGAAGACGGCAGGCACTTGCCACGGCGAATTTCACAACTCCACGAATTTAGCCAGCTGACATCAAAGACGAGATTTCCTAGCTTTCCTTCGTCGTGACTCCTTCGAGATAGAAGACAGCCTGCGTGTTGTCCCCCGTGAAATCGATATTCGACAGGCCAGCTGTCACGTATCTGAAAACAGGAAATCTCGCTATTTCTATTTCATCAGCTGTGCAAACTTATCGGTCGTTAAAATTAAATTGCTAGGACAGAACGAAAAGAACGAAAAAAATGGAGAGCAGGATAGAGATAAAAAGTAATAGCAAGTTAAACGGATCGGACTGGTTGCTCGCGATGGAAAGTGCACGATATATACGAAGCGAGTCACGCAGAGAAGCATAGTCAACCGTAATTTGTGTCTGACTGGTATCTATTAACTTAATTGTAACACGCTTCGAACCCTCTTGTCTCCGGGCTCTCTCTGTGCTTCGTGTGCATCGTTTATTGTGCTCGACATTCATGATTTCGGTCGTCGTTGAAAAGCCAGTTTGACTGGGCCCGCATATTATACCCGTAAAGTCGTAAAAGATCACTTACGCGAGACTGCCAGAGAACGAAAATATGACGTGACCACGTCTCTTTATGTTCCCACCGTGATATCGTTTTAATAAAAATGATATCGTAAAAAAAAGAAAGAAAAAAAAATAGAAATTACGTTTTTTACGAAAAAGAAATCTTAATAATGAAAGAAGATTGAAAAAAGTATCTGAAACAGAGATAAATCTGAGATAACGGATTGTGTAATAAGTTCGTTCACCTCTCTACATTTTAAGAAATATCGTAGAATATATTCTACAGTATTACTAGATTATTTAATGAAACAATGCCTTTTTATAAATAATCGTCTAATATTTAAAAAAAAATGTTAGCAGAAAATGTTTAAAACTACGAGTATTAAAATTTTTTTAATAAAAGGACACAAGTTTTAAAATAATATAATTAGACCTTAGAGGAGCAATTTTTAATGGTCTTTTAAAAAACGCCAACAAACTCGTTACACAATCTAACACTAAAGTTGTCAGTGATCTTTGAAATTTTTGGTAATTGCTCTTTTTCACAATGGAAAAGAGACCTTTCAAGGATCCTGCAATTTTGAGACGTGTTGCGTGCCGTCATCTGGTACCATAAAGACGGATCCTTTCTCTTTCTAACTGACGTAACGCAGAACACGGGTCTGTTTCATGTCTAAGGAAAAGCGGAGAAAGGATCGCAGTGTGCATCCTGTCTATGAATGCTCTCGTTCCCATATGTTTTTGCATGTATCGAAAAAATCTGACTATGCTTTGTTTGTTCCAGAAATGTCCTGCTGTTCTTTGGCTGCCGGATCTTGTCGCAATGTCTGCTCCAAGGTACCATTTCTCTATTTTCTAGTTGTACACTCACAATCGGGAAAACATGTGGTAACAATTTACCAACTTGAAAGGCAAAATAGATTTTCCCAGTGAATCCTAAAATAGTCGCTAACAATACTCACAGATCTCGCAAGACTTTCAGGAATATTTGATGATCATCGACTCTACGATTCTTTTGCGAGCACCGCTTGTAACAAACTCTCGATCTTCCTAAAAAAAAGATATCATATATACATCATCAGTGAACATCAGTCGTTCAATATTACGATTTCATACATCATTAAAAATAGATTAAAGTGTGTAATTTGGAATAATATTAAGCACTGTGTTTGCAAGAACTTCAATGTAGACATTTCAGACAATGTTCTACGAACGCGTTCGTAAACAGTACGACGTGAATAGACGACAAACAAGCGACGAATTTATTCGCGATTTGTGAAGACGGACCATAGGATTCAGCTAAACCGTTGCTGTCCCACTAACTCGTCGTTTCGACCGTGTCTATTAATTATGCGCGCGAAGGATCTTCGTGGGAATGTCAAAAAGACAATTTCGAGGAATATAATTTCGCCCGGACGAATGTGATATCGCTGACCGGCTGATAAATATCGGTGGCCCGACCCCGGGACGATAAAGGGTACAAAATATGCCGTGTCCACGGATATATTAGGATCTCTCTCCGAAATAAAAAGGAAACTGCGCGAGAAGGATGAAGCACCCGGTGGAAAGGTGAAAGGAGAAAAAGAGGAAGCGCACGGTGGTTTTTCGACAGGGCCCCGATTCCGAGCGACGCGACGTGGGGTGCACGCGTGGTTGTAGCTTCTTTAAAAGTGGCTGCAGGGCCCCCCTCGAGATAATATCGGAGACACTGGGGCCCGCTGAGAGATTTACGCACGACCCCCCTGCGGGTCCCGGCCAGCTCATTCATACGCAAATATTACGAATTGACGCACTCTGCTCCATGAACCAGACACACGGTATCAATGATATCGTGTTTCCCTGCAATTTGTACTCGCGAAAGCGAATCTTCTCTAGATCGCTTACCTTTCACGTCTAGGAACGTGGAACGTGGCTAGTTTCCTCTATAAAATTCCTCTATCGACTCCGGATTCAAGGGTGGTCTAACCGTTTGATAAATATTTCAGCTGCTTTTCACACATAATGCGTAATGCACGCGCCGATGAATTATTATTGCTAAACGTGAAGCGATTGATTAATAGCTTTAGCAGTCGCGTCCGGTCGAAATGGCCGGAAGTTCTAGCCGTAGCGTGTAATGCCTACGGTTATTTATACCCACGCACATATTTATACCCAAGCAAAATTGTTGAATTAAAATTGCGTTTAGATAAATTATATCAGTGACATATTTCAGATAGTTTCATACAACATGCATAATATATTCATGAAAATTTTTAACAAATGTTCAAGTAATTTCGCGAACAAGCTGCACGTGTAATTTACAACCGCTAGACTAGACTGCTTGGCGTCTGCCGTGGAAAAGTTTGCGAGAAAACTGCAACTCTTTTGAAATGGCGACGAGGCTAAGTCGCGCATAGCTCCCAGAATATACTGCGACAGAAATACGTGCGTCGTCCCCGTCGTCCACTATCTTTTACGCCCTTAACATTTGCAATAATTCGACTGGACAGTTCTATTTAAAA